CATAGTTTACTGAAATGATGAGATAGAAGAGTTTTTAAAAATTTGTTTGGTTCCCTTAAAATAATAATATCATAGTTTACTGAAATGATGAGATAGAAGAGTTTTTAAAATTTTTGTTTGGTTCCCTTAAACGGCCCAAACTATAGAAATTACCTAGTATTTTTCACACTGAATTCGAAAAAGGCAATCAGCAGTATGAAAATCTTCATAAACTCATCCTTTTCAAATGTATGTTATTAACTGCATATTTTCAAAAATACTTTTGAGTAAATTACGATATTTATCAAGGTAAGGTTAAAACAACAGGTGTTCAACCAAATGTTAAGTGGATTGGTGCATAAAGGTGGTTTATAAATGTGTTTCAGAGTGACGATAGAAATGCTGTTTTCAATATGCTGAGATGTTTCCGAATACGGTTTCACAGTTCAGTAGTCGGACAAAGGAAGACATCTTCTCACGGCAAAGATGCTTTGTACCCCCATACATGCATTATGCAGGATCACATCAAAGGCTTATAACGTACATGGGTTCTAAAACATCCTGCGAGTTATGGGGCTGCATATCAATCAACTGTGTTTTACGGATAACCAGAGTAATAATGTAGAAAAGGTTTCTATTGATGTTTTGTTAAGTATACTATGGAATAATATTTTTACATGAAATTTCTTATATAAGGCATTTCACTTTGTATATAGCTTGAAAAACTTATATACTAACAGCGCTGTTAAAAATGAATAATAAAATTAAATTAATACCAAACAGCTGTAGTGTTGATGCCACAGTGGATTCGCCAACTTTTTGAACGTACTTTATAAGCAATAACTTCCGCTATATCGTTTCAAGATTGACGGACGATCTTGCATCTGTTGATGGATCTAGATCCACAAGAGACCTTTTCATTTATTTTTTTTTACATTTTTACTCGAGGAAAGAGTGTTTAAAAAACACAATGTGTAGTGTTAGCAAATCAACTAAATAATTTGTTGTTATGATAAAGCCTATTACATTATTACAATTCCCCACGTAGGTCCAGATATAAATGAATGAATGTGATCTAAATTTACCACTAACTAAGTTTAAAGATTATTGGTTTAAGGTTAAAAGAGGGATTTTTGCTTTAGTTCTCATTATTACACACATTAAAACGGTAAAGTACTAGCTAAACTTAAGTGAGGTAACAGAATTCATTAGGATGATATTTCACTAAATGTTCAATTATTTTATTTATATTGATTTTCAGTACATCTCGCCACGAATACGACAGAGTAGCATTGCGTTTTATACGACATAATTTAACAGTTCGTCACCAACAGTAAAGTTGTGTTTCACCAACTAACACAGCGCTTATTGTTGCAGTGCCAGGTTGGAGCGAGGCCCCTCACTCCCTCCATGTAGCGTAATCAATGCTCCAAATACGTCCCTCAACTAGATTATTACGCTCCTTAGTTGGTTACGTTCCCATCTGGCAACTATATTATGGGTTTAATAGTTTTGGATTATTGAACATTTAGTTGCATATTAGCTATGGCATAATAAACGTTATGCTATGTTAAACACTACTGTAGGTATTTAATTAAAGTAACTAACAGCCCTTCATTATTAACTTTGTCAAGATATACAGATGTTTCTTTTTGAAAAGATTATTAGATTTTTATGCAAATGATAATATGAGCTGTAAAGTGCTATAATATAAGTCCAATACTATAACTTAACATTTAATATATTTTTAATGTCTAAAAGTTGATTGAGTATATTAAATTTATTTTATGCGCCACCTACAATAAAACTGGAGGGAAATTTCGGAGCTATATTTGAAACATACACCACTTAATGTTTGTTTTCTAAAAAAATATTGCTTAATGAATGGTGCTTTCACTATATAGATATGTGTAGATCGTCTTACGAGCCTAAAGGTTTCTTTTCGACTCCAACTTGTACTATACCCTTGGCGTATCCGCAGTCGTTATACTTTCATTAGTATTTAAAATATTTAAGCAATTTAAGACTAACTGATAAAATAAACAATTTTGTTTTTATGAAATATTTTTTAGTTTTTTTACAAAATATTTGCAGGAAATGTAAAATCTCGTAAATTTCATGCATATTACAACAATAGCTTTTAGCTTAAAAAAATTAATAATTTTATTATAATACCATTTTTTTTTGTCTTCTCCATTTAAACAATATTAAAAAGTATACGTAGTGGTTGGTTGACCAGGATTTGCTTTTAAATATTAATAAGACTCACCGTCTTGAAGTAATCCAGTATTGTTGGTGTATCGGCTTTATAAAGCCATCTTCAGTACTTCTTGATATAGGTTATTTCATAATAAATACGCCAACATCCTTGTTCTTTTCAACTTGTTACAATACATTTTAAACAACAGTTGACAAGAACAAGGCTATTCGCATATTTATTATGAAATATATAACTTTAAAAAGTAATTTATCAATTTAATATTGATGGAGAAAACTGTAGGTATATTAACTGTAAGTATGGAAGACTGTAACAGTTCAAAGAGAGGTGACAACAATGAGATAATTTAATGCATAGTTTGAGTACAGCCATTGTTCCTATAAGCCAGTATGTTATGCAAGGGGTTTTTATAGCTCGAACCAATACTTTTGTAACATTTTTACAAGCTTCGCTCTGAGAGGTCAACGTAGTCGTTGCTGCGCGGACAGAAACTGATGACATCCGGAGCTTGACAGAGGATCGCCTTCCGGTGTCCGAGGATAGGCTTCAAATGTCAAAACTGATATCAGAAAACAATCTAAATTGTTAACCGATATCTATACAGTAAAAATATGTACAAGTGAGATAAAAATAACTAAATAACAATGGAAAAGTGAGAAAAATCTTTATAACTGTATCTTACATTTCGCCCAACTGGATTTTGGTTGATTTAAACCAGTTTCCACATTTTGTTGGTAGTTATAAATCAAGACGATGTTTTCATTAGACTATACGGACAATCTATGAATAAATGCTTTATTATTTATAAATATTACAATATTAGGCGTATCATTAAAGTATTTTATTTTATGGGTTGATTGACTTTTAAAATATAATCAATGCATCGCTTTGATATTATGTAAATCAATTAAATATATTTGCGTTACTTCTAAATCTTATATACTACTACTACTGTCTATGAGTTTAAAATTATCACATCACGAATATCAAAGAGCGAGAGAAGAGAGGAAATCCAAGAGGCCATGATTTCAGAGTTTCTGTGGGAAACTTTGCTTAAACCAACAGATGACGCCAACTGTGGTTGTGGTCCAAAGTTTGTAAGACGAGAAAGCTCTTAATAATGTTTACTTTAATACATCAATGATAATGATATATTAAAAGTAAATTAAGTTAATGATACACTTAGAATCATGGATAATAGTTTGAAATATTGATACTTACTTAACATATAAGCTATCAAACGATTTCGTTTGTAAGTTTTGTGATAGATATTCTAGACATGTGGGATAATCGTTGACTCTATTGTACAAAAGATGCTTAGTCAAGTATCATCTCTCGAAAGATTCGTAAAAAAAGGTTTAACTGGTTAAAGAATTGTTCTATGTTGTTATCACACATAACTATTCATTTGTATGATAAATGAATTTGTCGTCATACTGCAAAAAATACAGTTCCAAAACATGCGTTGAAAGTCGCTCTTTTACTCTCTAGGGAGAAAACAACCTTTTTAGTCGCAAGGGAGTAAAATTCAGCTGTTGTAAACTTCGATTGTAAGCAATCACACATATCGAAATCATGGAACGATTGATTTCAATGCTTATAACTTATTGTTGCATTCTTGTAATAGTTTGGCATATCGATAGTATAATAAACACTAACTAAATCGTAATATACGATTTTATTGAATTACTTACTAAACAACTAACTGCTTGTTTGCATTAGTAAAATTGAAAACTAGTTGATGGTCGTTATGAGAGATTTTTTTAACACGAAATGATTTTAGTTTTCCATCTAGTTTGTATGATAATGTTGCAATATGACGAAAGGTATAATTCATTACACAGGCAAACATTTTCTGTCCATCCTAGTGACTTATGTATATTAATTTATATGTAATTTATCTAAAGCAACAGTATCATCTTATCATTGAGTGAAACATGTTCCAACAAAGTGTTTACTGTTAGAATAGTGTGACATTTTACCAGTTTATTTTTGTAAGAGTCATGTAATTAATGCAAAGTTTGCAATTATTATGTAATTCCTAATCACCAAATATGACAAGATTGTTTCAACAATGTTGGTTTGAAGTGGACTGAGCCCTGCATCTTGATTATTGCTCAACGTCTACAATCCAATAAGTTTATCAACAAACCAATAGAAAGTTTAATTGCCTGTCAGCCGTGACATTTAATCAAGTACATCGAGGACCAGCCTGAATCAGTTTCTAGAGGCTTTGTGCGCTGCAGAAATTAATGCGAAGTTTAACTAAACCGTTATAGTAAAATCAATACCAATTTGAACTCTCATGGTTGGATACCAAACACAGCTGTATTAACTTTTATGGTGTGTTCATTTTGATGATACCGTATTTGGTTTTGAATACCTGCATTTATTTACGATATGTATTTGATAGATAGAGTTAAGAGACTTACACTCCAATTTAAACGCATGGGAAGTTTTGTCACTATTAGCATTAAGTCACAGTTATTGGGGCTACTGTTAGAGATCAGTTTGACATTTTATTTTCCATCTTCGTCTAACTGTTGGAAATTTAAGTCGAGACAGCGCTGTATTAGCCACTTGCTTCAACAGTGTAGGTTGATTTGTCTAGTTAGCCTAAATGATAATAGTTATGCAAGTAACCGTTAACTATAAGTCATACCCTATCCACATGAATCAGCGGCAAGGAAGATTTATGTGGTATTTATGTGTGTAACGACAGAAACGATGATTATGTACATAGTTTTTTATGTTTTCAATAAATGTTGACTATTTTAACGTCCGGATTGTTTGTTGCAGGTGGAGGTGGTAATGCCGGTGTGGAGCCCGGACACAAGATGACCAGTGCGAGTTGTATGAGAGGATGGTTGCCGGGCCCGCTGGACTTGTCCTCTTATACGCCCTGATGGTCGCCTCCGCCCCTGACTGGACTGACTGTCCCATGTCGTGCCGGTGTAAGTGGACGTCCGGCAAGAAGTCTGCGCTGTGTCGGGACGCGGGGTTCACCACTATCCCTGATACTCTAGACTCTGATATGCAAGTGCTCGATTTGACGGGGAACTCGATTCCATATCTCACAAAGGACGCGTTTAAAAGTGTAGGACTATTGAATCTGCAAAGGATATTCCTGAAGGGAACGGGAGTGCGCGAATTGCATCGAGACGCGTTCAAAGACTTGACTATTCTAGTAGAAGTCGATCTTTCCGATAACCTTATCCACACGTTGCATCAGGAGACATTTTCGGGTAATGGCCGTCTACGTGTTCTGTATCTCAATGGAAACCCGATTACAGAACTCCGATCGGGTCAATTCCCCATGTTGCCTCATTTGAGGACACTCGAACTCCAACATTGTCAAATTAGGATAATCCACAGAGACGCTTTTCTTCATTTATCGGCCTTGGAATCCCTCAGCTTAAATGGAAATCGTCTCAAGCAAATATCCGAAACAGTGTTTCTACCAGTTTCGAAACTAAAAACACTGTCACTCGATGGCAATCCGTGGAAATGCGATTGTGAACTAAGAGGTTTTCGTAACTGGTTGCTGTCGTCGAACCTTTACTCTCATCCACTCATCTGCACAGCTCCTGCTATACTCGAGAGTAAGCACTGGGAAGACGTCAAACCTATAGAGTTCGCTTGTCCTCCCACGGTCACCCTTAGCGAGACCATGGTCCAGCAAGAGGCCGGAGGAAACGCGACGTTCAGGTGTCAAGTGCGTGGAGATCCGGAGCCAGTCATTTCGTGGCTATTTAATGGCAAGTCAATAGGTAACGGTTCCGTGAACCAAGACCAAGTGCTCTTAATCGAGGAGGAGGACGGGGACGTGATGACAGAGAAGTGGACAACGCTTAGCTTGATGAACGTGAGCGACAGTGACGCCGGCGAGTACACATGCATAGCACGGAACTTGCGAGGGATCGCTGCGGCAAATGTCTCGTTACTGTTGCCAGAGGTCATCATCGCCACTACACTCAGCAAGAGCGACCCTTGGCTCATGTGGATAGTCTGGCTCATCTTCGGAGCCACTGGAGTCGTGTTTATATCCATCCTTTCAGCGTGTGCATACAGACTACGAAAGTGCAGAAGTAAGAAACACCGCAGAAAAGCAAAAATCAAAGAAAGTGTCAGTTTTACAGACCAAGAAAAGAAGCTACTCGATGTGAGCATTGCGACTAGCACTGACCGTCCTAGCGGTAGTTGCGACGGCTTGGGGTCCCAGCCGGATATGGAACTGTTGGAACAGTCACTGCAGTCCATCCCACTAGAACTTTGTGACCAGCCTGTACACATCACCATAGAGAGCCACGCGCCGGACCAAGCGGTCGTGTTTCCACCGCCACCAGAGTTCTCCACCAGTCTTCTGCCTCCCGGAGCGTTCGGCAACATCTTCATCTCCGTGTCTGTCAGTCAAGACCCCAACACCATGGATCCACCGCGGTATCCGGACCTGCTCGACCTTCCTCACAGGAAGAGCGTGAGTGTGGCCGCTGGGCCTGACGCTCCGTTCTTCGCCACTTTGCCACGGCGCCAGTCACAGCCCAGGCCGGCCAAGGACCCGGACCCGCTGCTGAGGATCGGTCCCCACTACGACGGCGTCGGTCCAAGAGTGACGGCCGCCGGCAGCTCCACTCTGTCTCTGCCGGACTCAGCCGCTGCCGAGGATATCCCTCCGCCACCGCCGCCGCCACTCTGCTCTCCCATGACTGTTGAATATGTATCATTATGAATATAAATCATTCTTTTTATACATTTAGTCTTAATATTTTATTGTAAATCGGTTCTTGTTCAAAGGAAATTTATCACAGAGATCGATGTTACGTCGTAAACTATCGAGTACTAGTCTCAGATCTAAAAATAGTATTTTGTTATGTTTTGCAATAGTTTAATGTTACTAAGATTATTCATTCAATTAACGAGTGAAAGTAAGTAGATTGCGAAATCCCTTTGATACAAGATTGTCCTTGAAGGTAAATATGAATAAAAACCATGACACTAGTGGTTCTAAACTTTCCCTTACCGCTTTGATTTTGCATACCAGTGTTTTATATCATGGTACTCTGGAATGTTTTACTAAAGCTACATTATAAGTGTACCTATAAAGGTTCCGTGGATTATTGGCCGTAACAAAATTACATTCAGTAGGGAAGTTTAAAAAGCTAAATTGGTAAATGTTTTTCTTTTGCGGTAAAAAATAAAAAGCCAATAACCATAAACAAATGAATGATTAAGAGGGTTGAATATCCAATTTAAAATTCAAAGACATATTTTCTAGTAAAGGACACTGTTCACTTATTAATAAAATACCGTGCATTATATAATAATATGAATGTTGTTTTGGAAGCAACTTTTCAATCAATCAAGTATGCCTTTTTAGGAAAAAGTGGACACGATTATTTTATATACACTAAATTGTTTGGTCAAATATTCAAGATGTATAATTTCATATTTTTTACTGTAATTCTTGTTTATTGATTTTAAGTTGATTTTTCTTGTTAGTATATTTTTAATGTTCTTACGATAAAACCCGTTTTTTTTATAACGAATAATCATCAAAGGTTTGAATTTAAGTATACAGAGTTTAATGTAATTTACCTTTAAAAGTTTGTTAGTGTCAATAAGTAATTATTTTAAAACATGAACTACCTGGGTTATCTTTTGACCGTCCATTAATTGGGGTTTTGAATATCGAGATAAAATGACCAAATACGCAGTAATACATCGATCTAATAAAAAAATACCCCCGCCGCAGCAAACCTGCCGACTAAGTGAATTTCCATTTGTCTGAATTGATTTTCAGTTAAATATATTTTAATAACATTAGGTTTAACGAGTACCTAGGTTTGCTGCTACAAGGAAACTAATAAAGTGTGTTTTTGAGTAAAATATTGATAGCTTAGTAGAAAATAAATAAATTTGCCAAGTTTGATCAAAATATATTCATAAACAAGCAAACTACAACATTTGACAATATTCTCCATAAGAATAACATGGGAATTTTAAATTTACAATTTTTTAAATTTTCTCCGTTACTAATAATCGAACAAAAATACTTTCATATACTAAATTATTTGTTTTTTTAAGCTCTTTAAAAAGGTCTAAAGAGAAATTAGGAAATTTTGTGTTTTGAGGGTCAAAAGTGAGAAAAACCAATTTTTACCCCATAAAACCCCCCGTAAAGCCCCGTTCCCATGGTCCGATCATGCTGGTTCGCGAACTCATTCAAGTTTATCCCGCTTTACACCTTTAAACCAAATTTCATCAAAATCGGACAAAAATTACTCAAGTTATTGCGTTCACGGACGTATATATATATATATATATGTCTATATATATATATATATACATATATAAAAATTTGAACGAATAGTGTTTTTGGCCTCTGGGGACATCAAAATGAAAAAGTAAATCGGTCCCGAGTCTAGGTCTTACCGTGCCACCTACGGTAATAGCTACTTCCCTATAGGGAAATTCGCTAAAATAATAATGCTAATACATAAAGTGTCTGTACGTTCTATTTATTTGATTACTCTTAACTCGCAGAATGTTTCTGCCAAACAATATTTTCATTAACCTTTAAACATAAATAAGTAATTTACGAAGCATACAAAAATAATACGAAGCATAAAAATTTTTATTGTGCAAAGGGTTTTAAAAGGTGGTTAGTATTTAATAAATAGATTCAGTACCTATGATTTAAAATGTTACAAACTATTGCAGTTTTCTTTAACGAATCCTTGGTAATATGTAAGCAAAATACCTAAATCGGTATACTTTTGTATTTTTCATACCCATAATAGATTATGCGGAACCATAAAATTAGTTATGTCATTTAAAAATTTATAAATATGTAAAGAGAACAACTATACGTGTTGATAAAATTTACAATGTAAATTCGTACCATCTTCTATAAACCTATACCGTAATATATTTTCTCATCAACCTTTAATTCTTTATACATGTAACCTTTGAACCGTTTTTCTCGTACACTCGTTTGTAGCACCTGTATACACTTGTATATAACTGTTGTTTGACATGAATCCTGGTAAGTTTTGTTGTATCTTGCATATCCCTTTAACATTTTGTTACATATTTTCAGATTCAAGCTGAATATAACTGTAATAAAAACTAATTAGCGTTAGATGTAGAATGATTATTTAACGTTGGTTAGCTCAAAGCTTTTTTATAATAAAATAAAATTATAAATTTGATAATATGTACTCATGGTATTTTTATTGATATCCTTGTACTTCATTCTTGATAGGGACACTCATTTCATTCCACCATCAGAGTTGAATTATATGGAAATGCAACAAGAACAGTAACTGAAGGTGTAATTCTGCAAACCTGCTAGGACAGCCAGCTTGAACACCCGCTATGGGTTTCTAGCTAGTGAAGGAAAGTCAGTGACATGACCAGTCATTTAAGGTTAAAATTCAACCTATGAATAGTAAATTAATTAACTTTTCAAACTCTGCCAACAAAAAGATAGTTTCACTGAGAAAAGACAGTATATTGGAGAGATAATTTGGCTCTGTAGGTAATTTATAGATAAAAGTGTGGATAGCTCCTCAACATGGTACACCAGGAAATTTAAACTCTGCACACCTCTATGACTAAAAAATGCACCTTTTTGGTTAATTTGACAATTTTTCCCAGGGCCATAGAATGGGATGTTTTTGAGGCAGCTAAAAATGTTTAAATGGAAAGCCCAATGTCATCTGAATGACCTTTATTCAAGAAGAACATCATTGAAAACCATACGTCTCTAACCTAACCCAGTTAAAATGTTGATCGGTTTAAATAAAAACCAGCCTGAACCCCCAAAACATGTATTTCAAACAACCATTATATCGTTCTAGGTTGTGTTAGGTTGAGTTATCGCTTATTTTTCTTTTATACCGGCCTCTAGAATGAGGTTTGACTTGATTGGGATTAACATTAAAACACTTTAGACTGCACACGTAATACCCCATTACACTCCTTGAGAAAAATTGCCATATCAATCAAAAAGTACACTTTTATATTTGTATCATTTTATTGGATCATTTTATTTCTAACCAATTGAAAAGTTACGGAATTTCCCCGCATTTTAAGTTATCAGCCTGTAAAAACGCACAAGTGTATTTTCAATTAATGTTTGTATTGCCGCCATGTTGTACTGCGTTGTAATACAGATCTCTAGTTATCGCCGATATAAATCTTTTTTTCATGAAAAAAAAAATGTAATTTGATTGTATGGGGCTAATACGTAAAAACAAAAATATATAAGTCGCCTCCAAAATACCCCATTATGGTTTCCATAAAAAGGGGTCATATCAACCAAACAGTGGATTTTTATTCCATAAAGAGGTGTGCAGAGTTTAGTTTTTTTTGGTGAAAACCGTTAAAATTATGAGTTCAACTTCATACTTGTACCTAGCCCTGAATATATCTCAGAAGGAGTACATAGCGTTGTGATTCTACATTTTTCAAAAAGTAAGTAGCTAACAACACTTAAAACACAACAATTTACTACACAATTAACAACAAAAGAGCAATAAAATGTTGGGAATGCTTATGTTGTAGTTTTTATTTGATCAAAATTTTTGTTTATCTACTCACAGACATATGATTCCTACAACGGTAAAACAGTAAAACTCCAGTTGTAATTTAGTGCTGTGAAATAAATTATACTTATTAACTTTGTATTTTTATATGAATATATTTAATATTTAAAACCTAAGTAGGTAACAAGCTATAAAATATAAGATAGGAGTTTCGCCTAGAGAGTCACAATGATTAACCAATTGGCAAGTTCAATTACTTGTAGCTTATTTAATAAGATAAATTACAGGAAATGGAGCAATTTCAAAATATTTTTATCTTGCATTACCCTATAAATATGGATAGTAAAGAAGGTTTATCTCTACCCAAAATACATATTTTGTAAAATAATAAGCTCATTTATACAGCCAAGCTTATACATACTAGTACAGACTAAAACATTATTTTCTTTAGAAAACAACTTCACAACTTTAAAAACTCATACAAATGATGACATCAAATGCCAAGAGGTACAAAGCAGCAAACATTTCAATTTTCCCCAACTTAATGGTACATTGGTATAAATAAAACAGGATTTATGTTTCTTAAACAATTAAATAACATTCCGTGCTGCATTTTACGTAGCAATAAAAGGGAGATTAAACAAGATTGTTGAATACTCTGTGAGTTTCAGCATAACGTGGTTTGCAATTTACATGAAAGCGTACACATGTTCCGTGAATTCTACATTTACATTTTGTCTTTTTGTATCTCGTACCTTTGCCGAGTATTTAATTTAATTTAACTTTAATTTCCTTTTCTCTGTCCATTTTTAATTGAAATACGTTGGCAGATAAGATTTTTCAATTATTTGAACTGAAATAAAAGAAGAATATCCTCTTTAAAAAAAGAAATTTTCCGTTGTTAGCAGTTTTTAGTTTATACTTCCACAATACTGCAAAAAAAGTTATAAATTATGAATTAGCTAATTATTTCTGTATTTCATAATAATATTCGTAAGTGAAACCAGATAAGCATATGTTTCGGAGTGTTTTTACAAATAATGATAGAACCAAGAGAAAAAATTTCCCAAAAACGGGAATTTTCGGCAGGCTACATAATCGAGCACACAGTGAACGTACAATTAAGTTAGACGATAGTTGGTACAAGACACCTGAATCAACATTACTTAGGGGCGGTTTCTCCAAATATGTTTAAACTAAACCAAATATAAGGTTAAACCTAAGTTTTAATGTTTAAGGGTTGGTCAGAAGATCGAAGTAGTAGGGGAAAGCAAAGGAAGAACTACTCGACCTTTACAAGAGAATGTTTGAAGAACAAATAAAAATGCAGAAGGAAGAGCATAGTATATGATAATGGAACTACTCCAAGAGAAAGAATATTAGTTCAGTTAAAAATAAAAAAGGAAGAGGTAAAAAAAATGAAGAGGTAAAATAAAAAAAAAACTGTTGAATTTAAGTGGAGATGATGCATAGGTACCGGTAGTTATCACTATCTCACGGTGTTAATAAAAAAATATGCTAACTTACAACTATTTGTTAATAAATTTATTTTAATTTTATTACAAACTAGTGTACCTGTTGCTCGAATTTGAGCAATTGCTAAGTATTACAGGCATTATTTTAAAACGAATAACAGTCAAAATATTGGAAGGCTTTAAAAGATTCGACTCAAAGATTATGACGGATCGATATAATCAACATTTCTTATAAATATTATTTTCTACAAATAGCCTTAC